CTAAAGTCACGAGTGAGAGGCACATTTGAAAGTGTCTTTGGCTGAAATTGTCCATTGAATGTATTTAGAGAAAACAAACTTCTTCATATTCTCTGCATTGAAATAAAATTATATATATAAATGTACAACAGCTAAAGGAACATGTCCCTGGATAAAAGTGTGGACATTGATAGTGGGAGGAAAACTTCCTCTCACTATCAATGAGAGAATAATAACGGTACAACTGGAAACTACTTGTGTGTGGATTAAATGTTCTTCCTGACGTTTATTGCTTTCATTATTAATATCTGAGCTTCAGGAAACATCTGACCGTGTAAATATGATTCTGGATGTGACAGATATCACTGGAGAGGATTTGGAGACGGCCAGCACTAGATCATATACGTAATCGGGACGGAAGCGGAAGTAAATATAACAAACTACCTATTCATGCCTTAACTTAACCAGCCATTCCCATTAAATAACCCCAACCCAGCCTTAACCCTAACCTTAACCATTTACTCAGACGCCTAAAACTTAACCAGTCACCACTTAAGCACTTTTTAGTCTAAAGATAATTTGAAAGTAGGATTGTTACTTCCGGTTTTGTCCCGATTCCGACCATTTGGAGACAACACTGACAGAGAACAGTGTGTCATTCCCATATTCGTCCCGGAAACCGGATTCGTTCGGAAGTTCAGTTTGCGCATGTCAAAAAGTTTAATATGTCCTTAAGTGGTGACTGGTTAAGTTTAGGCGTCTGATTAAGATGGTTAAGTTTAGGGTTAAGACTCGGTTGGGGTTATTTTATGGGAATGGCTGGTTAAGTTTAGGCATGAATAGTTAGTTTTTTATATTTACTTCCGCTTCCGTCCAGATTCCGCGACTACTGCTGCGTATGCTCATTGGATCAAACTGAACTTCAGGACGAATCCGGTTTCCGGGACGAATACGGGAGTGACACAGTGTGTAGACAGAGGCTAAGGCTGGGGATTAGCATTAGTATTTTACAGAATATGTCATCTGAAAACAGTGTTTCTCTGTACCTGCTTTAATCCAGACTGAGGCATAAACCAGACATGTTGGGGCTAATCAACTCCTTTTCGACAAAAAGTAGCCAGTCTTTTGGCTCCTGCTTGACTTTCAGGCCACCCTTCCCGTGACTACGCTTTGGTTCATTCTCACCTCATGTGAAACCCTGCAGTTGGAACCATCTAGAACAGGGGTGCCCAAAGTGGGCCCAACTGGCCAATGGCCTCCACGTCTTTCAAGGATCTCTATCTGCATTCCCCAAGTTGGTTCGGTACTCAGACGTAGGTCTCGATTGGAGCGTGTCAGCGTGGCCTATTCATTCTATCCGATACTTGATTGATGTATCGAGATACACGCCTCATTCATGGTTCACATCAACTTGCACTAACATGTTTTTTTTTTTTTAAATCAAACACACTTATCAAAACAATTGGGTGCAAGGCACCTTTATGTTCATTTTTGTTCAGCCTCAATTTTATAGGAAAGTATAGGAAAGCCAAGCAGAGAAGTGCGCCCCTAGTGTTAGGTTTCTAATTTGCATGTTGAAGTACCCGAGCTATTCCCAGAGCAACACGCAGCCGCATGCCTTCATTCATTCTGTTGCCTGTGTCAGTGTGCGTTAATGACCAGAAAGTAAGTACCATGTGTGATTTGTTGATATACATGTGCAGCTTTAGCCATAATGTCTGTGTTTATATTTAACAGACTTTACTCGTGTTTTCTTGTGTCTCAGTTTATCATTTGTGACGTGATGTACCTACTTCAAGTAGTATTCTTATGTCAAATGTTTGGTTTTGCTGCTAATTTATAGTTCAAAGTTCATTCTATTGCTAGTTTATTATTAGCTACTTCTATTGTGCATCTGACAACCTGCGCTGCGTCTTGTGCCAAAATTAAAGGGCATGTCTGTAACTTTTTAGGAGCAACCAATTAAGTGCTGTATTTTTCAAATATTGAATTATAGACCAAATTTATCCGTTATATGATTATATATTTGATTATAACCTGTAAATAAGCTACAACAGAAATCTCCCTCCTCTGGACCCTGATTCTCTGACCGGAATCTTCCCGTACTGTAGTCTCCTAAAACCAGCATATTTCCCTGGAGCCTCCACTTCACTAAGAGTGTGTTGTTTTCCTTCATTCAGCTGTGATTTGCACTGATAGACAATGATTAATGCATTTAATCATTCAACAAAAATTAAAGGAACTTGATAAAATTTACATTTATTTGTGTTTCACGCATAATGTCGATGTATTTGGCCTGCGGCCCACTGGCAATTTTTTACTTTGGCCCTTGGAGGCAAAAGGTTTGGGCACCCCTGATCTAGAGAAAGAGGAACGTAGACTGGAACCATTTAGAAGAGAACACTACCAGGTGAGTTTGTCTGAATTCACTGAGAATAACATTGTCTTGGTTGATATGAACTCAGTCTGAATTTCACTGACTACAGGTCCACCAGTGATAGCTTTAACGTTATCCTGTTTGTGCTTTTAGCCTAATCTAGGCCAATTCATTCCAAACAGAAAATATCTGTGATAATGTAGTAGATGAGTTAAAATTCCCTCATTAAATCAGACATGTTTGGAAAACCTATGTGTCACCACAATAGACTGTATATATTAACGGACAGAGTCACGCCTACCTCCGCCGTTCTGTCCAAAAAAGTGCTCTACCGGAGCTATCCAAAATGGCCGTGAGTGGTCCCGCCCACAAGAAAATTGTGAAAAAACGCATCTGCGCATGCGTCAGCCGGCGGGAGCTCCATTCATTTGAACGAGAGACTTCAAAAATTCACAGCGAGTAAACTTGAGTGGTCCAAAAAAATCCACCCCCCTCAGCATTGACACACATGTGGAACGGAGCTTTGGGCCAAGAGCCAGCTTTTGGACCATCCTGTAAAGACGTTTTCGAGAGGTCTGCCAATGCTATATGTTAGCATTGGCTAATTCTTCTTCTGGGTCCACCCCCATCGGCCCGGGGTGGTATTGCAAGCATGTCAGCGCACGTCATTTCGGCCACTTTTGAGCCGAAACCCGCCCCCACTGGTCACCAGCAGCTAACATGTTAGCAAGGTCTGCTAGCATGTTAGCAAGGTCTAGATTACGCCGTTTGAAACGTGAGCAGAAGGTTAGTAACGAGAGGTATTTTACTGATAATCAAGTAAGTCTCAGTTTGGCTCCTCTGATCACTGTTGTATTTGTTACACTGCATATTCTGGGTAACCGCGGCTATCCCGCGCTATTGCAGCTATCCCGCGCTAACAACTGTCCCATACTTTTTTTTTAGCTGTCCCATACTAACATGGCTAGCCCTCACTAACACGGCTATCCCGCGCTAACACTGCCATCCCGCGCTAACATGGCTATCCCGCGCTAACACGGCTATCCCACGCTAACACGGCTATCCCGCGCTAACACGGCTATCCCACGCTAACACGGCTATCCCACACTGACACGGCTAGCCCGTGCTAACGCAGCTATCCCACACTAACACAGCTATCCCGCGCCAACACAGCTAGCCCGCGCTAACACAGGGAGTATGTCACTTCACAGTTAACATAACTTCATTTTCAGTTTTGTATTGGTTCTGAGGCTGTAGATCCAGGACTGAGGCTGTAGATCCAGGACTGAGGTTGTAGACCCAGGACTGAGGTTGTAGACCCAGGACTGAGGCAGTAGACCCAGGGCTGAGGCCTGTAGAAGTGGCTCCTATACAGGGCGGGGCCCATGGGTCGCGAGCAACCAGCTTTAAAGGAGCTATACCCGTTTCTGCAAGGTTTGAATGTTTAGCACTGCCACCCAACTCGCTCACAGGTCTCTTATTTCCCCTACGCTCTCATCCCACAGAGCCATCTAGTTTTATTTACGATCTGATACATATGCTAACATTAGCATTAACGTTAACGTTTTTGTGACAATTATACTGTATTAATGTGACAAAAAGCAATCGCGATAAACCCGGAAGTAACCGTTAACATGAAACAAGTGGTTCATGGTGGTGTAAATGTGTACGCTCATTTCACCCTTCGTCATAACACGCCAAAACACGCATGTAATTCAAGATTTGGACAACAGTACTCATAGTCCCACTCTGGCAAAATTAATTCAGATTTTTTTATGAATACTTAGGCTTATTACGCTACCGTGTGGTGTTGGTCATTTTGCGGTGGTACTTGGAGAGGCAAGTATTTTCTGAGGTGGTACTTGGTGTAAAAAGTTTGAGAACCACTGCTCTAGTAGGCTCTTTAACAGTTGGGATACTTTTTGATAAATTATGTATTTACCACAAGTGATTACTGTTTTATTAGTAATCTCAGAGAACAGTCTTTTGATCCAGTCAGTGAATTGTTCTACACTAGATCCAGGAAATCACTGGACATAGCGAACACTTTTTTTTCTCCGATATGGAGTTCAACTGTTATGCACTCTATCAAAAATACTGTATAGTACAACGCTGCTCTTACCCCAGTTACATATTTCAAATTCCTACCAAAATGTTGTACATATATAAAAATTTTCACAGATTTGACACTTTATAGAATACACAATACACTATAGACAATGTGTTTTACAAAAATGAATGAACAAATGGATTTTGTGAAATATTTATTTATTGCCCTGATGTAGTTCCTATTTCTATTATCTCAGTCCTGTATGAATGGGGCAATAGAAACTAAACTATTTCATTGTCTTTATTGAAAAAAACAATACATTGTTTTTTCCTTAAAGAAGCGGTCTCAGAGAATGGATAATTCCACTCTCGTAGACCATGTGTAGATGGTGAAAATGCCTCACTTTGAATTCGCCGTAAATCCAAAATGAGGCTTTTGACTTCAGCAGTCGGTGGTAGGACGTGTCTCATAACAACCATTGCTAAAAGTGTGCTGTTTAAAGGCACAATACACAAGGTCTGTGTTAGGAGTGACACTTGTGGTCAGTCACTGAGCAGCCAGAACAACCTCACAATGTGGTCAGACACTCTGGGATTAACACCACATGAAGATGGCCCGACACACGGACCTCAGAACGGTGCCCAATGTGCGCTTCTTAGGAATCCTCTCTAGACGTTTGGCAATGGCCGCTATGATGAGATCTGGGTCGGAAGAGGCAAACATACGCAGTGCCTTCTTGGAATGAAATTGGCTTAGGTCTTTGTAAATGTGTTTTGCCACATCTACAATGTTGTTCTTATCAGGTTTTACCCGCACATCACACTGATTCTTTAATGTCTGCAAATGCCCAAAGAGTAACTTGGAACACCTAGCCAGTTCCTGCGGGTTTCTGATGCCAAACACTCGAGTAGACAACTCAAAAACCAGGTTGGACCAGTCGTCATCGCTCCAGACGAACTGGTCAGCTGCTGTGCGTTCATCTCTTACCTCATCTGGCCTCTGGATTGGCCTCAAATCCACTGGTGCAGCAAGGTTTCTCTGCTTCTGGTTCTCAAGTTCCTGAATGGCGTTCACGTCACAGAGGGCCTTATAGTCCAACCACAACATTTGCACCATTTCGTTGGTCAATACAAATCTACTACCTGTACAGCATGTCTCTGGTTTCTGAGGTGTGTTGATCTCTACGCAGCTCTCATTGAAAGACTCCGGTGAGGCTCTTACCTGGATGGAGCTTAGTTGTTGCACGCTTACCCATTTCAGGATGCAGTCTGTGATGATGGTGACACTGTACTCAGAATACATAAAGACCGTAAAATGCATCCAGTCCCCCAATTTCTCACTCACATCTTGGTATATTGCATCAGCTACTTCTTTGATGTGATGCTGATCAGGTTTGAGCTTAACACCATCCATCCATCCATTTTCTTCCGCTTTATCCGTTGCCGGGTCGCGGGGGCAGCAGTCTAAGCAGAGACGCCCAGACTTCCCTATCCACACACACTTCCTCCAGCTCGTCCGGGGGGACCCCAAGGCGTTCCCAGGCCAGCTGAGAGATATAGTCCCTCCAGCGTGTCCTGGGTCTTCCGCGGGGCCTCCTCCCGGTGGGACGTGCCCGGAACACCTCCCCAGGGAGGCGTCCAGGAGGCATCCGGAACAGATGCCCGAGCCACCTCAACTGGTTCCTCTCGACGTGGAGAAGCAGCGGTTCTACTCCGAGCTCCTCCCGTGTGACTGAGCTCCTCACCCTATCTCTAAGGGAGCGCCCAGCCACTCTGCGGAGGAAGCTCATTTTGACCGCTTGTATCCGCGATCTCGTTCTTTCGGTCATTACCCAAAGCTCATGACCATAGATGAGGGAGGGAACGAAGATTGACCGGTAAATCGAGAGCTTTGCCTTTCGGCTCAGCTCCCTCTTCACCACAACGGTCCGATACAGCGACCGCATAACTGCGCACGCTGCACCGATCCGCCTGTCAATCTCACGCTCCATTCTTCCCTCACTCGTGAACAAGACCCCGAGATACTTGAACTCCTCCACTTGAGGAAGGACCTCTCCACCCACCTGCAGCGGGCAAGGCACCTTTTTCCGGTCGAGCACCATGGCCTCGGATTTGGAGGTGCTGATTCTCATCCCAGCCGCTTCACACTCGGCTGCAAACCGTCCCAGTGCATGCTGCAGGTCCTGGTTCATTGGAGCCAACAGGACAACATCGTCCGCAAACAGCAGAGATGAAATCCTGTGGTCTCCGAACCGGACCCCCTCCGACCCCTGGCTGCGCCTAGATATTCTGTCCATAAATACAGTGAACAGAACCGGTGACAAAGGGCAGCCCTGTCGGAGGCCAACATTCACCGGGAACAGGTCTGACTTACTGCCGGCAATGCGAACACAGCTCTGGCTCTGGTCATACAGGGATCGGATGGCCCTCAGCAGAGGACCCCCGACCCCTACTCCCGGAGAACCCCCCAAAGGACACCCCGGGGAACACAGTCGAACGCCTTCTCCAAATCCACAAAGCACATGTGGACAGGTTGGGCGAACTCCCATGAACCCTCGAGTATCCGATGGAGAGTATAGAGCTGGTCCAGTGTTCCGCGACCGGGACGAAAACCACACTGCTCCTCCTGGATCCGAGATTCGACCATCGGCCGTAGCCTCCTCTCCAGTACCTTGGAGTAGACCTTACCGGGGAGGCTGAGGAGTGTGATCCCACGATAATTGGAACATACCCTCCGGTCCCCCTTCTTGTAGAGAGGGACCACCACCCCGGTCTGCCACTCCATTGGCACTGCCCCCGATCGCCACGCGATGTTGCAGAGACGTGTCAGCCAAGACAGTCCTACAACATCCAGAGACTTTAGATAATCAGGGCGGATCTCATCCACACCCGGAGCCTTGCCACCATGGAGGCTACCAACCACCTTGGTGACCTCAGCCAGGGAGATGGATGTACCCGCCCCAACATCCTCAGCCTCTGCCTCTGTAACAGAGGACGTGACGGGGGGATTGAGGAGAACCTCAAAGTATTCCTTCCACCGCCCGACAATATCCCCAGTCGATGTCAGCAGCTCTCCACCCGCACCGTACATGGTGCTGGCAAAGAACTGCTTCCCCCTCCTGAGGCGCCGGATGGTTTGCCAGAATCTCTTCGAGGCCGACCGATAGTCATGCTCCATGGACTCTCCGAACTCCTCCCAGTCCCGGGTTTTTGCCTCTGCAACAGCCCGGGCCGCGGCACGCTTGGCCTGCCGGTACTGGACAGCTGCCTCAGGAGTCCCCCGAACCATCATGGCTCGATAGGACTCCTTCTTCAGCCTGACAGCATCCCTTACTGCCGGTGTCCACCACCGGGTTCGGGGGTTGCCGCCGGGACCAGCACCAGAGACCTTGCGACCACAGCTACGAGCCGCCGCATCGGCGATTGAGGCAGAGAACATGGTCCACTCGGACTCCATGTCCCCCTCCTCCGCCGGGACCTGGGAGAAACTCTCCCGGAGGTGTGAGTTGAAAGTCCGTCTGACAGGGGGCTCAGCGAGACGTTCCCAGCAGACCCTCACTATACGCTTGGGTCTGCCAGGTCTGACCGGCTTCTTCCCCTGCCAGCGGATCCAACTCACGACCAGGTGATGATCGGTTGACAGCTCCGCCCCTCTCTTTACCCGAGTGTCCGAGACACGCGGTCGAAGGTCAGATGATACGACAACAAAGTCGATCATCGACCTCCGGCCTAGGGTGTCCTGGTGTCACGTGCACTGGTGGACACCCTTGTGCTCGAACATGGTGTTCGTGATGGACAAACCGTGACTGGCACAGAAGTCCAACAACTGAGCACCGCTCGGGTTCAGATCAGGGGGGCCGCTCTTCCCGATCACCCCTCTCCAAGTGTCACTAGCGTTTCCCACATGGGCGTTGAAGTCCCCCAGGAGAATAACGGAGTCCCCGGGCGGTGCACCGTCCAGTACCCCTCCCAAGGACTCCAAGAAGGCCGGGTACTCTACACTGCTGTTAGGCCCGTAGGCCGTCACAACAATGAGAGACTTGTCCCCCACCCGGAGGCGGAGGGACGCGACCCTCTCATTCACCGGGGAGAACTCCAACACGTGGCGGCTGAGATGGGGGGCAATGAGAATGGCCACCCCAGCTCGCCGCCTCTCCCCGCGGGAAACTCCAGAAAAGTGGAGCGTCCAACCCCTCTCAAGGAGTTGGGTTCCAGAGCCCAAGCTGTGTGTGGAGGTGAGGCCGACTATCTCTAGTCGGTATCGCTCAACCTCCCCCACAAGCTCGGGCTCCTTCCCCCCCAGTGAGGTGACGTTCCACGTCCCAAGAGCCAGATGTTGTGTGTGCGGACTGGGTCGCCGAGGTCTCCGCCTTCGACTGCCGCCCAGTCCTCTCAGCACCGCTTCACCACGGACCCCTCTGCAGGTGGTGGGCCCACAGGAGGGACTGCCCACGTCATCCCTTCGGGCTGAGCCCGGCCGGGCCCCGTGGGCTAAGGCCCGGCCACCAGGCGCTCGCATACGGGCCCCGACCCCAGGCCTGGCTCCAGGGTGGGGCCCCGGCTGCGCCATGCCGGGCGACGTCACTGTTTTCATATTAGTGTTGTCCATGGTGTCTTCTGGACTGCTCTTTGTCTGACTCGTCACCTGAGACCTGTCTGCCATGGGAGGCCCTACCAGGGGCATGAAGCCCCAGACAGCTTAGCTCCCAGGATCATCCGAGTACTCAAACTCCCCCACCACGTTAAGGTGGCAGTCCAGGGGGGAGAGCTTAACACTATATCCACTATAACTATATAGCTTAACACTATATCCAGATTTTTGTTGCTCCACATTCTTCAGGAGCAGCTGAAAGAACTGCTCTCTATCAGTTTCATTAGAGTTGGGCAACACCTGAGAGCACACTTCTTGCAGCAGGTAACACCAATCCTGGTCGCTCCATAGGAATTCCACCGGTGAAGCGGCTTCCCTGTCCTTAGATTTTGCATCCTCTGGTCTCAGCAGCTGCTCTGGCTTGTTCTCTTGACCTTTGAGCAACATTTGCACAGCAGCTTCTTCAGGGATTTTTTTAACTTGGGTGTAAGAACTGGTTTCACCCTGAGAATCCATGCATTCACTTTCCTCAAAGACTTGAGGGTCACGTGTGGTGAAGTCGGCACTGTGATGTCGCACATCATTGGTCTGCTCTTCAACTTTAGGCACCGGCTCAGAGCGGCGTCGCTGATGTTCCTGATCCCTGGCGAAACGCAATAATAGCTTGATATGATTTATCATTGTGATCAGATGTTCTTTGGGGGGCAGGTATGAGGTTATGGACTGTGTTCCATTTTGGCTCAGCCCAGAGTTGACACTGGCCCACACTTCTGTGCTCAAGGCCTTGAAGAGCGGAGCACATGCGTGGTGTGTGGTGCCCAATACAAAATGAAAGACATCAGTCAGACAGGACTCAATAGCTATGGCTACCTCTTCCTCTGACACCAGGGTGAACTCTGGTCCACTTAAGCTTTCCAAAACACTTTTGGACAGAGTGTCAATCATTTCCAACAACATCTCTGCCAGGACTTTCTTGGGCTTTGTCATCTGCAGCGCCTGCTTCCAGTACCTCAGTGCCACAGACTTGAGTTCCTCTGTGGAGATCTGAGACACAAAGCCCATTGAACTGGGCTTTGGAACGCAATACTTGTCAAAATCAAACATACTTACTTTTTAAATTTGACACATTACTACAACTACTCTCAAAATTAAATGTATAACTCGGTTGTCTCTTCTGTATGTACTTACCTCTCCTCTCCTTTGGTTGAACACCACTCAAAGGCCAGCCTTCTAAGAGGCATTGGCTTTGACGAAACCCTTTGAGGTCACTTGAATGGATGTTTCCATAGCAACCTATACATGGCAACCGATACATACATGGCAACGCTTCCATGGCAACGCTTCCATGGCAACAATAAAAAGAGAATAATATACCACCTAACCATCTATTGAATATGTGAGAATATATTTTTCTTTTCATAAGTTCATTATTAAGTATTTTCTAATGCTTGTCTGTAACTGCCTGCTAACATGTTAGCAATGTCTGCTAGCATGTTAGCAAGGTCTGCTAGCATGTTAGCAAGGTCTGCTAGCATGTTAGCAAGGTCTAGGTTACGACTTTTAAACGTGAGCAGAAGGTTAGTAACGAGAGGTATTTTACTGATAATCAAGTAAGTCTCAGTTTGACTCATCTGATCACTGTTGTATTTGTTACACTGCATATTCTGGGTAACCGCGGCTATCCCGCGCTATCGCAGCTATCCTGTGCTAACGCGGCTAGCCTGCGCTAACACAGCTGTCCCATAGTAACATGGCTAGCCCTCACTAACACGGGTAGCCCGCGTTAACACAGCTATCCCGCGCTAACACGGCTATCCCGCGCTAACACTGCTATCCCACACTAACACGGCTATCCGGCGTTAACACGGCTAGCCCGTCTTGCAGTAAATCTGTCAGGGTTCCCCTGCTCTGGACGCTGCAGAGAGGCCGCAGCACCACAGCCCGTTTCGTCCTGTAGGTTCTTTTAGTTCAACAAGAGACAATACCAATGTTAAAACAGTAATAGAAATGACAGACACCAAACCTGATTTCAGATGTTATATTGAAGATTTGCAAGCAACATTACAAGAGTAACGGTCTGCGAACACAGGTCTCGCTTCGCGTTGAAGATAAGAAGTGGCCCCGGGGACGTCTTTCACCCTCCTGGTCAGAAAAAAGCCCCCGTGCCTCCTTCTGTACATCTTTTATACTGTACATCCAAGGTCACTGACATCACAGATTCGTGGACTCTATGACTTCTTCTGACCAGCTGCCAAAACCTGCACCTGCTTGATAACAAGTCTAGTTTTTCTCACTTTTCATACAGAACTGCTACTATTCAGAAATAATAACCTTGACCTAACTGCTCTTTGAAATTTACACAAACAAGTGCTTTATAGACCTAATCATTCTGACGTTTAAGTTGTTTAAGTATTGATTTAGCAACAGAAACAATACTAAACTGATTTTAGTTTAACTGGTGCAGGAGGCCTCTAATATTCCAGCAGTCCCCCTGTTGCAGTGTTGCCAACTTAGCGACTTTGTCGCTAGATTTAGCGACTTTTCAGACCCCTATAGCGACTTTTTTTCAAAAAAGCGACTAGCGACAAATCTAGCGACTTTTTCTGGTGTTATTGGCGACTTATCTGGTGTTTTGGCGACTTATCTGGTGTTTTGGAGACTCGTGAAGCACGTATTGTTCTGCTGTCCTCAACGTGAGCCCCTCCCCCGTCCCAAAGCACTTACAGGCGGCCAGTCTCACAGTAGCCTTGCGCAGCAGTCCCAGCTACAGTCTATGGGCGGAGCAGAGAGAGAGAGAGGAGACTCAAAAGCACAGGGAGTTTTCAGGCTGCTGCAGACTGAACTTCAGCTCCACCACCACCACACATCCAAAGCTCCCCGGCCACTCCTACCACCGCCACCCCCCACTACCCCCCACTCCATCCGCGGCAGCTCTGTCCGTGACTCTGTTTTCTCTCAGTAGTGGGTCACATTAAATCATTTGTTATGCCAAACTATGAAAAAAAAAAAAACTTACAAAAATAAACCTAAGTAACTCTGCCAGAGTGTGTCTTTTGGGTCACTTTGCCGGTCCCAAGCCCGGATAAAGGAGGAGGGTTGGTTGTAGAGCTAGCAATTTCACCCTACATAACAATCTTTTGATTACATTTGCTGTGTTATAACATTTAACAATACAGGACAAAACTGATGTGTGTAATGTGGATCTAGACAAAGCATTAAAATCATTAAATGTTGTTAATGTTGAAATTATTTTTGTACATTTGTAGTTCTAAACATATTTAGGGTGTTTTTACTCACTTTTGTCTCTCCCACGACCTTATTCCTCTCTCCTACAGCGTCCGTTACAGTTATTTGCAAATTGCAAATTATGCAAATTAGGCGATGACGTCATTTAGCGACTTCTAGCGACTTTTGGGACAGCCAATAGCTATTTTCCTTACTGAGGAGTTGGCAACACTGCCCTGTTGGCCGGAGAGGAACTCTTCGGACATCCATCACTCTCGTCTCAGATGGCCCATCTTCATCAGTTGATTCAGCATTACATCCTATACTCAGTCTAATCCCAGTCTTCACGACGATCTGTGAACTCCTAAACCACCCCATGTGACATTATGAAAAATGTGGTGGTCTTCCACTCAGCCCTTACTTCAGGCCCCCCCCCAAAGGCCTCTGGGCGGACTGAGCATCCAACTCACCCTAAACTACATACATTGAAGTGATCCTATAAAACAATCTATATGTGGGTGTGCTGCGGTGTCTAGTCTGTGTAGCAAAAACAATAGTTGCAAGAGCTGTGGAGAAAGAATATGTTTGTGTCGTGCATCAATTTGAATTATGTAATTTTTTTATTTTTTTTTTATTTTTATTGCATCCCCGTTTTTCCCAAGTCCCTCTTACAATTTTGCAAGGTTATGTGCGTTATTTACATGCAAGCAGTTATACATTTTTGATTAAAATATTTTGATAATATCATAAAGCATACTCACAACTCCTCTGGTGATATTCTGACAATATCACAGACCATACTCACCCGTTCTTCTGATGATTGTCCTTTATGGTTTAGGCTATGGTCATCAATTCTTCTGGTTCCCACTGTAGGTCCTGGGTTAGTAGCAGTTGTCTTTCTGCCACCTTCCCTTCCACAGCGGCTGTTATCACTCTGTTACATAAGGATCGTATGCACGGAATACAACAGCATCCACATAGCGTCAGGATTGCTGCAAATACAGCCACCGATAGCAGAGTTGATGCTATCAGTGCCTTATATCTGCCAAACACATCCAACCACCCATCCCACATTGATTGGTCTACTCCTGAATGTGCCTTCATTTCTTGGGATAGCGCCTTCAGTCCCTGAAGGGCCCTTGTTAATTTTCCATCTGGGGCAGTATTATTTGGGATAAACGTACAGCACGTAGGGCAATCAATGAACAGGCTCCGCCTTCTTTGGCTAAAATCATGTCAACAGCAAGTCTGTTCTGGAAGGTCATTAAGGATGTGGCTGATAATTGTTCATGAATTGCCTCAAATCCATCATATGTATAATTGCTTAGCCTCTGTATGTTGTAATGTAAGTAGTTGATCCGATCGACGTTCTTATTTGGGGTTACTGGGAAAATTGCAGAGATTATTGGTATATTTTCAAATCCTGATGCAATTTCATCAACCAATTTGTATTCATTTGGAATTCCCCTAGGAATACCTATTGCATCAATATAAACTGGACTTCCCTCCTCTGGTCTAGCCAGTGCCCTTCTTGATCTGGTTTTTACACTAATGATTTGTTTCAAAATCTCTGGCTTCTCTAGATCCACTGGAGCTATTTCAATTGGTATGAGTAATGAGATCAACACACACATGCCATCCCACAGAGGGTGTAGATATCCCCTTAAAGAACAACTCACCCTCAAATCCACTTTTTTTTCCTGATAAACTGTATAAATGAGTGTCCAATAGTGTTGTCTACATGTCCTTATCATTATTTTGACATTTTAGTGCAAACTTGTTCAAAATCCAATTTTTGTGTACAAAACCGTCTGTTCAGCGCCTCTCACGTTTGAACAGCACTTACTACATTTGAATTTAGTGGTTGGCAGAGGAGGTGCCATCATACGTCACAGTGCCATCATACGTCACCAAGTCTGCCGCTGTGGTATAAAAGCTGACCCCTCCCCTAGAGGCTCTCGTAGAGTGTTGGAGTTGGATCAGAGCGAGCGAGTTTTTTCACAGCGATTATCAGGTTTGCGTTATTAGTTTAATACTTAGCCAGTTAGATTAGTTACATTTAATATAGTTTTATCCCTAGTAGTAGGCCTAGTTGTTTTATAGCGTTAGTTAGTCTTTAGCTTTATTGTTAGTGTTAGAATAGTTTCCGTTTAGCATAGCCGTTAGCATTGAGCTTTAGTTGTATTGTTTATGTAGTATTAGTGTAGTGTTTTGTGTAGTGTATTGTATAGTTAATAGTAAGTATGGGGAGGAAGTGTATTGTAGTGGGCTGTAGTAGTTCTACTGGTTTACATGGTATTCCAGTAGACTTAGAAATTAGGCGCCAGTGGTTGCGCGCAATTGGCAAGGGCGAAGGTGAACTCCCTTTGCGTCCCGGAGTTTGTGACAAACATTTTTCGCGGGATTCCTACTCCAACGCATTAGCGCTTGAAATGGGCTTCTCCAAGCAGCCGTGTTTGAAGAGAGAGGCAGTCCCCACCCTGGCTCTCCCCACCCTGGCTCTCCAACAGCCATGGCTACCGGGAACGGCATTCACACTGCAGGTAAAAGTGCAAAAATAAAGCTCGCTATGTTGTGTCAACATATTTGATTACAGCTTTGATTTGGGGATTGAAAAGTAAAATATAATAATTTCTATGTGTGTTTTTTTTTAATTGTTATATTTGTTACTGCATCGAGCAGTTAGCATCCTCCTGTAGTAAGTAATACCTGCGCTACTACTCTTCCGAGTCTCACACTACCAAGGCCCAATAATTGGCGTGCGCTATTGCTACTTCCTGCAATGGTGCTGCCATCGCCACACTGCGCAATACGCTTGTAGTAGGAGCAGCATAGTG